GATATTTATCCAAATCCTGTGACTATTCCGCCTGGAAAAAAATCTTCAAACTAATGATAATCAAGTTGATAATGAAGAAGGTGATCATATTCAGAATCACAAAATATTGTTGATGCTCCAGTGCAAGATGATGTAGTTGACCAGCAACCCACTACTATTGATGCTCCCAAAGTTCTCTCAGAAGATCTACTAGAGAGAAAGTATATTCATCTCGTTATCCTCCTACTGAGTATGTACTCTTGACTGATGGGGGAGAACCTAAAAGTTTTGAAAAGCGTTGCATGATCACCGGGATGGCGGTCTCCTCCACATAATCGAAGGGGGAGAATTGTTGGGTTTTGAGGCTTTTCCCTTCCTATGTGGATAAATATGTCACGACCCAAAACTCGACCCGTCTTGATGGCGCCTATCGTGGAACTAGGCCAGCCTCAACTCAATAATCGAACACCACAAAAGTATTTTTAAACAATAAACATGGAAGCGACAATTACTAAGGAACATTTTTGAAACAAAATAAAATCCAAATTACGATACAACTGCCCAATACCGGGGAGTTACTGAGTTCATGAGCGTCTAGAGGAGAACATAGTCTATTACAATGTTTAAAGAAACAAACTGAAATACATCTAGAGATAAAGAAGGATAGTCAAGGCCTGCAAACGCCGTGCAGATACCTCGATAGTCTCCTAAAGCCTAAAGCCTTAATCAGCGACTGCCACAGGGACCAAAAGTGCCTGAATCTGCACACAAGGTGCAGGGGGTAACGTGAGTACACCAACTCAGTAAGTAACGGGGCCAAACTATGGACTAGAAGGTAGTGACAAACTCAATCGCAACAGAAATAATAGAAATATATGTGCAGAAACGTAGGCATGCTTTCAATTTAATAGATAACTGAAACAGTAAGATAGAGCAGATACGAACAAGGTAAAGAATAAAACTCTGCTACATCTACATGCCAATGCACATGATGTATGTGATGCACCATGTTGAATATCTCATGTGCTCACACTCTCAAATACTCGTCCACTCAGTACTATATATGGCTCATACGGCCCAGGGAAGATCCATCCCGAATTATATACATCTCTGACAGTAGTCAATCAGTACTAAGGAAGGCTAATCCAGTCCTATGGAGAAGATCCATCTCCAGGTAATAATAAGATCCTCACAACCACTCAAGATCCATCCCGGAATATATACATCACTGACCATCAATCTCCAGTACTGAGGACATAGGCCAATCCCGCCTCATGGAGAAGATCCATCTCCAATAATAATATCAACTACGCTCACTGGGGGTATGTACAGACTCCGGAGGGGCTCCTTCATCCTAAGCGCTATCACAAATCAATACAACCGCTACGGCGTGCAGTCCGATCCCATAATTGTCACTCATAATCAGGACCTCGGCCTCACTCAGTCATCACTCTCCAGTCTCACACACGGGCTCACAATGTCATAAAAACTAGCCCGGAACAATGATATGATGTGCCAATAAATAACAATTGAGACTGAGATATGATATGAAATTCATGAATATGACTGAGTACAGAATATCAACGGAATCAATGAGATGACAGCAAGAAACGATCACTAGGGGTCCCACAAGTATCAGTGTAAAGCCCTAACATGATATCTATTATGTTTTACAGCTCATTTACTTTATCACATTATGGAAACACGGATATCAACAAGAAAGAATCACTAAACGGTGTCATGGAATGAACCAGGTTCCGCTTCTCACGGTGCATGCATGCACGCCCGTCACCTTAATACTAACCACATAACACGTAGTTCGGGGTTTTGAACCCTCAAAACCAAGTTTGAAAGCGTTACTTACCTCAAACCGAGCAAAAATCCTACTCCGCAATGCCCTTGCCTCTCAACTCGGCCTCCGAACGCCCCGAATCTAGCCACAAGCAATACAATGCAATCAATATAGGATAAAGGAATTAATTCCACAAGAAAAACACCAATTCATAGCCAAAATCCAAAATCAGCTCAAACCCGGCTCCCGAATCCACGTCTCGAAATCTGACAAAAGTCACAAAACCCGAAAGCCCATTCACTCACGAATCTAACCATACTAAATTTATCAAAATCCGACATTATTTGTCCCTCCAAAACCCCACAATTTACTCTCCGAATTCCCAAGCCCTAACCCCCTATTTTTACTTCAAAACCTCACTAATTAAGTGGGAAATCTACGGAAAACACCATTGCTAAGGATAGTTAGGCTCAAGAAACTTACCTCAGTGATAAACCTCGAATTCCCCTTCAAAATCTCCAAAACTCGTGTTCAAAAAAGTAAAAATGAGAAGAATTCTCGAAGTCCTCTATTTATACTTTCTGCCCAGCAAAATCGCACCTGCGGTACAAATTGCGCATCTGCGGGCTCGCATCTGTGGACCAAGCTCCGCTTCTGCGAAAAATCACTTAAAATCCAGCCTTCGCTTCTGCGATCAGTTGACCGCGTCTGTGGTCATCGCAGGTGCGGAACACCATCGCACCTGCAGTCTAAACAGGCACCTGCGCCTTCTGCCCAGCTCCTCCAATCTCGCATCTGCGATCTCTTGCTCGCACCTGCGATGAGACATCCGCATGTGCGATTATGACAGTTGAGTTCAACTTCAGCAATCTTCCAATTTCCAAACTTATTTCGTTAATCACCCGAAATCAACCGGAGGCCCTCGGGACCTCAACCAAACATTCCAAAATATCCCACAACATCATACAAACTTAGTCAAATCATCAAATCACCTCGAACAACATCAGAAACACGAATTACACACGGATTCAAGCTTAATGAACTTCGAAACTTCTACATTCTACAAACAACGCCAAAACCTATCAAATCACATCCAAATGACCTCAAATTTTGCACACAAGTCAAAAATGATACCACGAACCTACTTCAACTTCCAGAAATCCAATCCGACCCCCATATCAAAATTTCCAATGCCGACCGAAATCACCAAAATTCCAACTTTCGCCAATTCAAGCCTAATTCCACTACGAACTCCAAATCACATTCCGGACGCGCTCCTAAGTCCAAAATCACCTAACGAAGCTAACAGAACTATCAAAATTTAAATCCAAGGTCGTTTACACATAAGTCAACACCCGATCAACTTTCCCAACTTAAATATAGTGAATTTCTCATCTCCATCGTTGGACGTAGGTCAATTGACCAAACCACGCTAAATGTTTGTGTCTATTTTGATATATTTCTCTTTTGTGGTATAATTTATCGTCGTTCAAGGTTTGCTTTACTAATTTTCGCATGAAACCTGATTATTTTTTAACCTAGCATGCTTTAGCATCTCTTCATCATCAATCTTAAATCAAAAGCAAATCCAAAAGAATCCAAAAATCATGCAATGAAATCCAATTATATAAATAGCTTCCCATAGCCATTCCACCCTTTTGATATCATCATTAATGGCCCAACAATTTTTGGCTGAGCATTACATCTTCTTTTATATATTCTTTTATAGACTTTTGTGTTCTAGAGAGTCACACTGCACGCGGACAACATCCCAAATCGTGGTTAAAGTAGTAATTTTATAAAACGGGTGATGAAGATTAGATTAGAAAGGTAACTCACTATTGTTGAATAAGTTTAAAGAATGGAGTTTGAATTTCGAATAGTACTATTTTTGTAAAAAAGTTGGTGTGGATGTTGTTTAGATTTGTTGAAAAATAGATTGAGCCGAAGTTGAGCTTCTCTTTATTATGGTTGATTGAAAACTTGAAAAATAAAAGTCCACCATTAAGGGTTGTTCGAAGATTTGATTTTAGAAATTGGGTTTTTCGAATTTGTTAGTTGTTTGGATTGAATATTGTTCCAATTGATTGGAAACGTCAAGAGGAGTTCAAAACATAAATTTGAAGTGATTTGGAATAGATTTGAGTTAAATTTCAGAAGAGGCTTAAGAAAAAGAGACGAAGTCAGTTTTCGTATAATAGTATATAATATTGTATAATAGTGATATGGGTGTATAAACACATTTATACACCTATATGCATAATATACATATCTTGTATAAAAGTGTATAAATGCATATAAACGTTTGTAGACGAACTTCTTTTATGATTTTTATTTACAATTATTGTTCAAACTTGTCCAAATCTCCACTAAATGACTTCAAATTTTATAAACAACCTCATTAGGCTATTTCTAATAAGACTAAACAATACCCACTCCAAATTTCTCACAAAATCAGATTTAAAATTTAGACCCACTTATTTAAGCTTCTTGAACAATGGTGGATTATCTTAAAAATATAATTTTCACCACCTAAACAGATTTGATTTGTTGAACTAATATTTAAGTCACAGTTATTGATTCGAAAATTGGGTTAGAAGCTTGAAGTTTTAGAAAGAAAAAAATAGGGATTTCGAGAATATATTTGGAGTTGGATGTTAAATCTTAGCCTATTATTTTTGGGCTACAGCTTTGCAAAGTTGTATACAAGCTAAATGGTTGTAGTGTATGTGTGTGAGTTGTACTTATGTGTAACTCTCCCGAAACACTAGCCAAAAAAATATATAAAATATGTATATCAGAAGTATATAATGCAATATATGTGTGAGTGTGTGCGTGTGTATATATATACATATCGATTATTATTTTTGGGAGCGGCTAAAAATATACATTTCTCATTTCTTTTTACCGCTTGATGAGAAGAAGAAAATAGAAGAATTAACCCAAATAGCCGCCCCTCCAACCAATTAAACTAAAAATAGCAGTGGGGATATAATATATGCATAATTTATGTATTTATATGTGTATAATTGTGTATAATCTATGTATATGGATAGAAAAAGTAAACAATGAATATGACCGGCTATTTGTGTAAAGATTCCAAGAAAAATATGGCTTTCAACTAGCCCACATATCTAGCCCAACCCAAATATAAGCCCAAAAGTGGTTACTTCTAGTTCTAGAAAGTTTTGAGGAGTAGAGGAAATATAAATGAAAGCAAATAGTAATATAAAAGTAGAGTTAATAATCAAATTACAGATGGCATTAAGATTCTCAGCAATAGCATCATCAAGTCTAGTACGTCGTCGATTGCCCATAGTAGGCGCCTTCTGCGTTCTTACTTTTGGTCTCTCTAATTTTTCAATACAAAGTTTTACTAAAACCGGTTCTGCTCTCTCGCTTCCCTTTCCCCCTCTCTTACGGTAATTCTCATTTCTCTTGCAGTTTTTTATTTTTATTTATTATAATCAGAATCTTGAATTAGTTTGTGGGTTTTTGAGGAAAAGAATATTTTGTTTGTTTAATGTTTTAGGTCGAAATTAAGACAGAGTACGAGTGTTAGCAATAGCATCAGAATGGAAGGAAGCAACAAGATTGTTCCCAGCATTGTTGTCTATGTCACTGTTCCTAACAAAGAATTGGGTTTGTCTTACTATTATTTCTTCTGCTATTCAATTTATAATAGTTTGGTGGCTTTGGTATTTCAGTTACTTAGGTACTTGGGTTTTATGTACTTTAGATGTTAATAGATAATTTGATAAGTGTTGTTTATGATCATCTTATGAAATGGTAAATCAGGTTGGGGTTTTAGCTGAAATATGATCTCTGTTGGCATATTAAGCCTACTATAACATTGATCTTGACTCATCGTGATATCTTCATTACAGGATCATATACTATGTGTGGTTTAAACTCGGTTCTATGGTCTTCCGTTCCTTTTTACTTTTTCTTTTTAATGTTCTATATGGTGTACCTTTAGTTCTATTCTTTGACAAAAGTTAAAAAGGAAGTAAAAGAAAATAACTTTTTCGAATTTGAGCTCTAGAATTCATGAGTCTTGGTCATTGTGTTAGCGAAAAGAGAACCGGCATTATAATATTGTACTTGTATCAAAGTTCCAAAAGTCACCTAGGATGATCGAAAAGATTGATAGTTGGATAATCTGAGATTAAGAGCTGCTACTGTTGTCTAAACAAATACTGTATTTATTATCTGTCCAAATGTACAAATTTTAAACATGTTACAAAAAGATGATTTCAGAATAAATGTCCCTAAATTTTCAAGGATGCTGCCTTTATGATTGGTTTTGTAATCTCAGTGATTTCTGAAGCTACAGGTGGAAGCTTTAGCATTAATATTTTGGTTTCTGGCTATTTTGCAGGTAAGAAACTAGCAGGGAGCATAGTCAAGGAGAAACTTGCAGCATGTGTTAATCGAGTACCAGGCAAGCACAGCTCCTAATTAGTACTCTAACTAGCTAATGTAACCTTCATTTTTCTATCTTGCACCGACTGGATGGTCCATTTCTCACAATATCTTTGCCGTCATTTGGCTGTTTATAGCTTAGCAATTCAACTTCAGTTCAACATGCTGCTATTACCGCTGTGCTTGAGAAAGTGTGGTTCATTCTTGTTGTCATGAATTGAATTATAGTACAGAGTGCTAATTCCTCGTCATTTCCTAGTCGCACTTAGCATTGGAACTTAGAAGTTTGATTCATGTATTGTCTCATCAGTGATATAAAGCATTATGTTGGTTACAAGATTGTTAGCCATGGAGTGTTTAGATCTTTTAGTTTCTTTGTAATGTGCGATAAAGAACTTGGATATATGAACCCAATATATTGCTGTTTCACGTGTTTACTGCCTGTGGTGTTGTGTGCTTTTGACTAACTCTCTTTCCAAAGATTGAACCCCATTGAGATGTTGATTGCATTGGCTTTTCTTTGATGTGGTTGAGCTGCTACGACATTGAAAATATTGATGTCCACTCTTCTCGTTTTCTCTTAGAGAAACTAGATTCTCAAAATATCAATACTATAAATAATTGAAGGGATATGCATTGAAATTTCGTAAAATGTCATTGTCAACACCAGGGTAATGTAGAATGTGTGTAGGGGACCTTTGTGTTGGACATGTAATCTGAATGGCAAATTGAGAGGAGCGACTTTTAGGGCTTAATTTCTCATTCTAGGGCATGTGGCTGGATAAGTCTCTGTTAATAGGGAAGAAATTTTGGGTGGAAAGGGTTAAAGACAGTAGGATTTGGTTATTGGTAATGATTTGAATCTAATAGAAGCAAGGAACTAGGAGAGTATCTATAATAACAGAAAAACAGATGCAAGGTGTAAAGAGAACGGCGCTGTTACTGGGGCATGTTCACAGTCATGCATATTTTGAAAGAAAGGTGTGAAGGCTAGGTTTGGGGATTTCTCCAGATCCTTTTGATAATTTGGAGTACCACTAAAGATCATAGTTGCATGATGAAGCATGAGGTTTATTTAATGGCTCAGATATTGTAATATTTGTCTTGCCCTTGTATCATATGTTAGGTTCATCTCTGGTGTTGTTCATTATGTTTGTGGCATTGGTTCAAATTAGTTAACCTTTATTTGGGAAAAAGCTAAAGTGCAAGTTAACCATGCATGTGGCTCCTAGCGTTCACTTACATGTGTAGAAGCCTTCTCGGTGGGAGAGTTACTCGAGTACAAGCAAACATTTATAATTTTGCTGGTCCTTCATTAGCCTTCTTTCCTGCTTTGATAACTTTTCACATTATGACAAGTACTTTAAGAAGCTTGTGGATGCATAAGTGAATTGATGTGCTGTGTGTGCAGGCGTCGAATCAGTTTACGAGTGGGAAGGAGAGGTAAGACTCCTCTTCGATCTGGCTCTTCTCCATCATATTTCCAGTGTTGTAAAGAGCGTAAAGCGAGGAAAAGCGACAACCCCCATTTCACAAGAAGCGAAGCGCTCGCTTTTTTTAAGTGAAGCGGAATTTTTAAAAAAAAATTAAATTAAATAATGCATAGACAACACATGTAATTGTAAGCAAATGTTCAATACTTCAATTAAAAAACTAAAGAGTAGCATCAATTAAAGCACAAAATGAGCATCCTATTCTTCTACAAGATTGTCAAATTCTTGTATTTTACTATCATTATTATATTGCTCGTCATCTTCTTCAACTTCTTCTTCTTCATCAACTAGGGACAAAGTAGCTGCCTCTTTTCCCTTCCTCTGTGAACTTGAAGTTGAGGTACTCCCCCTCAAACCATAAATCCTCTCCCTAATTCCACGCGCCTCCGCAACATCACCCCAAGTGAAATCACAATTATCCTCAAATACTTATTCATCTGCATGATCTTCCGGGACTCCAGTTAGCCATTCATTAGCATCATCGATGTTGTCCAAACTAATTGGATCAATTACATTGTGAGCGTTATAACGACGCCTCAATGTTCTATTGTACTTAATGAAGACTAGATCATTGAGACGCTTCAAGGTTAGTTTGTTCCTCTTTTTGGTATGAATCTGCAAATAATAAGTAATTAGTAAGATTAGGACAATTGAGATATAATTTAATTATCTCAATATACTAAATCTTTCTTCTTAGTTCCTACATGCTCAAACACGCTCCAATTCCTTTCACACCCAGATGAGCTACATGTTAGACTTAGAACCTTGATGGCAAACTTTTATAAATCTGGAGTGGAATGACCATATTGCTTCCACCATTCAACTGTAGAAGTAGAACAATTTTTCAAAACATAATATTGATAAAGAAATAATTTATTAACTATAAAACAACATATAAGCACTCGCTCACCTGGTGACTTCGTCTTTCTTTGTCTAATCGCCATGTTTTTTCCAAAAAGTTGCTCAGCATTCCTATAAATACTATTTTGCTCTGTGATTTTGTCTTGCACGGATTCTTCAGGTATCAACTTCTCAATACATTCGTAGTATCCATTCCACAAAGGTTCATCTCCTAGAATCTTCTCTTCATTGTCATAAAACAGTTCCGGGTTCAAAACAAGCCCAACTGCATGCAAAGGGCTATGAAGCTTACTATCCCACCTTTTATCTATGATCTCAAAGACTCTTTGTATTTTCTTTGATCACTAAAAGGGGCTTGAATAGCCTCCTTTGCCCTATCAATTGTTTCGTACAAGTAGCCCATTGGTGGCCCTTGCTCCCCATCCACCAAACGAAGCACTTTAACTAAAGGACCACCAATCTTCAATGCATGAACCACACTGTTCCAGAATGAAGGAAAAAGTATAATATCTGCAGATTCTCTCCCTCGATCTTCCCTTCCATAGGCACTGCTAGTGTACTCATCTGAAACAAACAACTTCTTCAAGTTGCTTTTTTGCTCATACATCCTATGCAAAGTCAAGAAAGCAGTAGCAAATCTTGTCTTTGCAGGTTTCACCAAGCTTCTTTGTTTAGTGAATCTCTTCATTATGTTCAATAACAAAGGCCTTTGAACAATATAGGAATGCACTCTAATTGCCTGATTAAAGACAGTACTGAAGGGTCTTTCCTTGAAAATATCACCGAAGATCAAATTAATGGAATGTGCTGCACACGGAGTCCAAAAGATATGCGGGTACCTAGCAGACATCAAATCACAATCTTTAACATTTTCAGTGGCGTTGTCCATGACAACTTGAACAACATTTTCTGCTCCAATAGAGTCTATTGTACTCTTGAACAAGGAGTACATTTTGGTTGAATCGGTCGAAGAGTCGCTTGCATCAATGGACTCAAGAAACAGGCTTCCCTTAGGAGAATTCACCAAGATATTGATGATCATTTTTCCATTTCTCGTCGTCCACTTATCCATCATAATGGAACAACCAAACTTGTTCCATTCTACTTTGTGCTCCTCCACGATTTTGTTCACCTCTGCCACCTCTTTTTTTAGATATGGCCCTCTAACTTCATAATAAGTTGGAAGCTTCATTCCTGGACCATATTGGCCTACGGCCTCAATAAAAGCAGCAAAAGTGTCAGTATAATTAACACAATTAAAAGGAAGACGTGCATCATACATCCACCGGGCAAACATTGTAACTGCACGATCCCTCAAAATCACTTTGGCATCAATTTGAGGATTACCACTTTTAACAATCCATAGGACCTTTGGTCTTGCCAGTAGATCCACAACTAGAAGACATTGGTGGAAGCATCCTTCCCTGCTTTTGTGATTTTGGTGGAAGCGACGAAGCATCGTCACCTTCTTATGTTTCATGATCATCATCATCAAGATTATAAAGTTCTTGTTCATGAATCATTTGAGTCTTTAACTCTTTCTTCTTTTTTGAAGGTATGCTTTCAATTCTTCCTTCACATGCCCTGGAACTTCAGGACAAGATGCGACATTTGGATCACTACCGATTAGATGCGCTTTTTGACGATAGATTGCCCCATTTGAAATCTAATCACAAAAAAGACATCTAATGGGCATCTTGTTGGTCTCGCTAACTCTTGCAGAGTAAGCCCAAGCCGGGCCTTTCCTATCTTCTTTTGGCGCCATTAAAAGAACAACTACATAACACATAAGAAAGGTAATAAGAACTAAGAATAAAGGATATAAAAATTGGGCAGAAATTGGGGGCAGAAACAGGAAAATTTGGGCAGAAATTTTCTGAGAAAGAACCGAAGGTAAAAAAAAAAAAATCGCCAGCATTTCGCCTCTTTTTGGACGTTTAGAAAGAAAAAGAAAAAGAAAAAGAAGAAGAAGAAGAAGACAGAACATACCTGTACTGTTGAAGAAGAACAACCCTTGATGCTTTGAGATAATTTCAGAAATCCGAAGTTGATGAAGAAGAGAAGAAGAAATCGCTGCTCTTGTTGAAGAAAAACCCTAGTCTCGCTGCTGTTGAAGAAGTCCAGACAGTGTTTACGGTTTACAAACTCGTTTTTTAATAAAATAGGGCTTGGATTAATTTTAAACACAGAAGCGGACGTTTCTCTCGCTTCACCGCTTCTCGCTTTTTACAGAGAAGCGGTCGCTTTTTCGTGCCAGAGTCGCCTTCACGCTTCGCTTCGCTTCTCGCTTAAAGCGATGAAGCGAGTTCTTTTTTAGTCACTGCATGTTTCAGTTGCAGTTCAGCTTTGATTGGGACCAATTTTTCTCAATGCGTTATAGGTGTTGTCTTGTTTCCTAAGAATAATTTGTAATTAATTTTTTTTTTTTTTGCTGTAAAACAGGTACAGACTGATTCTGAGGAGCTGCTTATAATCAAGACCAGGGAATCCCTTTTGGAAGCTCTTACAGAGCATGTGAAGGCCAACCATGAATATGAGTAAGTCTTTACATTTGGCTCTCATTTTGTGCATTGGTTAGATAAACTTACAGGTCATCCTTTTTGAATATCTGGTTCTAATGTTTAAAAAAGGGAATTAGAAGGAAGACAGATTTTTCATGTACAATAATATGTGTGCCATTTGATATCTTATCCTTCTATCACCGATGATAGCCTGCAATTTCTGCTCCAAAAGTTTTACGTTCATTATTAGTCTTAGGTGCAATAAGCTAATTGTTATCTTGCTCAAACATTATTACCTGAGAAGAGGGTGTGGAGACTGCAGACGGAATATTCTGATCCTTTCTTTTGCTTGTTGCTTGCAGTGTTCCTGAAGTGATTGCCATGCCCATAGTTGGTGGCAGCCCCCAGTACCTAGAATGGCTCAAGAACAGCACTAGGGAGAAATGATTAAGCCAAGACAGGCTTGTTCAACTTTAGCCTGTAGTTATGTTGGACAATGTCCCTTGCTCCCATGTCTAGCGCTTATCACAGACAAATACTAATGTTTATTTCGTGTTTTTGTCTAATAGTTATTACTCAAAAACAGTCAAACTGTGTGGGTAGTCCTGAACTTGATACGAGCTCTCATATCTATCTCAATAATATCTTAAATGCCTGTGTTATTTATGGCATTGCTTGTTGTATTCCACACAGGTCTACAGTGCTATACTACCTCCTCTTTTTTTAACAGTGTAATACTACTGCTAGATCTCCATGTGGCATGATAAGGAATCCTAGAAAATATCGATTGAGACTCTCTCCACGGTCTAACAAAGATACTTGTCCAGGACAAGTAAGATCTTCAGTTTGCATGCCTGGAGCTGCTCAAACAAAGAAGAGTCCGGTCTGAGTTCAGGCACGGCCAGTCCATTTGCTGCTAGGTCCGGTAATGGCGCTGGGCGAGGGGTGCCGCTATGCCCCTTAGTGACTTGCTGCTAGGTCCGGTAATGGCGCTGGGCGAGGGGTGCCGCTATGCCCCTTAGTGACTCGAACGGTCCTTCGACATCCTTTTAAATTATGAATTTGGAGTGCAAACTTTACCAGTGTCTGTTGAATATTAAGTTTATGAAGAACTCGTTGAGCTTTTGTTAGGTATCTGTCTCCCAATTTTTCTCATGAGAATAAACTGCTGTGGAGGTATACATGTTTGTACAATGGTGAAGGGACGAGACCCCTCAAAAAATTATGGGTACCAGTCTTCTCTCTTATCCATCGACTACGATTGGAAAAGTAATATTCAGGAAAGCTCTTTATCCTCTTGCTTGAATTGAAATACTTTGGGGGGTTTGTGTCGAAAAATTGTTTTTATCTGAAGTCGAAATTGGATCTCCTAGCCTCTTATTTTTTATTTCTAAGAATTGGATCTCGCTATTTACAGATCAGAAGTATCACCATTTGCAAAATGTGTATTCCATTAAGACATGCTCTCATGATCCATCTTGAAAAACACAGAATTATTCAACCAAAGATCACCGAGGTAGTCATTATCGTTATTCCAACAAAAACTACCAAGGTAGTCATTATCAAACTAAAAGAGAACATAGTTATAGCACAAAAAACACATTTATATGAATACAAACGTAAAATAATGCTCTAATCACGATTTGCCCGGGCGCAATTATGAGATTAAGTCGTGAAATTTGTAGTATACTATTTATGAAGTCGTGAAACTTGTAGTCTAACTTATAAAGCAGCTATTGCGGTTAATACCAGAACTCCTACGTATTATAACAATGTCACAGAGAAACAGGTTGAAGAAACAGAGAGCAACATTCCTTGATTCCTTGTGACAGCAAGTAACCAACCACCATGGAAGTTTGTAAAATAGGCATCAAAGCTTCTTGTTTTCTCAGCCCGAAGAAAATATCTAATTATAATAAACTCATAAAAAGCACACCCATTTAAATTTTCTAATAATAACTCTAAGCTTACACAATACCAGGTTTGACTGTTGGCAGCTAAAAAAGGAAAAAGAAATTCTACCGCCAGCAACTGTTACCAACAGAAAAGAAATGCAGAAAATATCGCAAGTTTAACTCCTAGCTTTTCCAAGTTCCATACCACCATAAGTCAAATGTCGAATACATAATGTCAAGAGGAGCTGTCCTTTTTCTTATACAATAAGTCAGCAAAAGGAAAATGACATTTGGAGCCCACCCTTAAAAGAGATGATGAGTCAGCATACAATCAAGACTCATCCAACTGATCCTGCATTAAGCACATGACAACAATTAAAGGAAGTTTTATTAAGTAAAGAAATCAAGTTTCAGAGTTAAACTACGCGTTTGCATGTGATGGTGCTTTGTAATGGCAGCCCTCAACAGAGCACCTACCTGAGCATCTGAGGTCCAAAGTGTGAGATTGTCTCGTAGGAGTTGCATTATGAGGGTGCTATCCTTGTAAGATTCTTCACCTAAAGTGTCCAGCTCAGCTATGGCTTCCTCAAAAGCCTAAACAGGTAGACAAACAAATCAATCAAATGCAATATGATACTGGACCCTCTAACACAACTAGACTAGCTGGCGTGTATAATGGAGTAATAGATATATTAAAAACTGATGCAAATTGTAAATGATCCATCTGCAGGTTAGCTTCAATTCGAAGAGGGACAAAAGGCTCACACTCGTGCCCAACTAGCGCCTTAGGGTAAACTTGACTAGAAGAGCTGCACATGAAAAGCACATAAAATTCAGGAGCATATCTGCAACAGAAACACCAAATTTTACCTGCTTTGCCATACTACAAGCTTTGTCAGATGAGTTCAGAATCTCAAAGTAGAAGACTGAGAAATTAAGTGCAAGACCCAGCCTTATAGGATGTGTTGGAGGCAGATCTGCTAGTGCAATTTCCTTCAACAATAACAAAGAAAAGAAAATAGAATTAGCAAAACCGAAAGTCCCAACCATATGATGGAACTTTGCATACAACACCAACTGCAAACATATGAATATTCAAGACTTGACCAACTGTAGAAACCGATAAACACACGCATGTTCATCAAGAGCCAGATGGAGCCAAAACCGAGAAATAGAAACTCCAGGTTAAATCAACTGAATGTCCTCTATACAGTTTCTAAATACCTGCAGCATAATAAGAAAGCCTTTGCATGTGAAGTTAATTTTGTTATTCAGACACCTAATCTCACGACAAGAAAATTGAACCTAGAGGGTTTCTAACTACATCAATGATGCAACTAAAGCTAAACTGGCTTAAGCCTAACCAATGTGCATATCCTTGGATATTCACTAACATTGAACAGTCTACAACTGATCTCCTAACTTTGCACAGCAAGGACTTCTTATAGTTTCAGTCCAATCTTTAACTTCAAACAAGCATAAAGACGATTTGGTGTTGAGAGATCCTTCTTGGATGGAAATGACACTTCAGCTGATACAAATATGAAACACCACACCAGAAAAGCGATATCTCTGAACAAAACAGAGTAAGGCTACAATCTGCAGATCACAAAGCTTTGTCCCTTCTTGTCCTCTTAGTTGTCATAATTTTTTTTATAAGATTCTTAGTTGTCTTTCAATGGTCAAAGATGGCAATGCAATGGAACAATCAACGGAAGATGCAGCTTAAACACTCATCTCGCCACCTATCAACATTTTAGTAAAAGCTATGATGGAAAAAAAAATGCAACAGAAAAATCTTAACTTACACGCTAATACAAGAATCTCCACCACAATCCAGATCACAATGGCTAAATTTTTACAATCCATATTGAACTCTAACTGCAATTTCAAGATGCATTATCGCCATCTCAACACTAATCCTGCTATCACATAACTAGGAACACCTAGATGCAATTCATTTCTCACAATTTTATCCATATTAGTTAGGTTAATGTATATGTAACAGAAAAAACTAAACTGCAACAGAAAAATCAAACCCTATTTAACATTCTCCACAACAATCTCAACACAAACACAGAAAATCCAGATCAGAATGGCTAAAATTAGTTCTCTATGTTCAAGTCGAAATCTAGCTACAGTTTTCTACATCTACTTCACGATCTATACGATAATCCAACTATCACAACAAGTAATAAAACATCCGAGACTTAAGTTACCCTAATCTGAAGAACAGTAAAAAGCACAAACTCAGAACCTAGAAAAAAGTCAACTAAAACAGTACCTGAGCAGCCTTGTAAGAATTCATAGTGTCTTCAGCAGCTTGCTTCCGCTCATCTCCAACCTTAAACTCCGCAAGATACCGGTAATAATCACCTTTCATTTTGAGGTAAAACACCCTCGATTCACCCGTAGAAGCAGACGGCACGAGATTCGACTCGAGCAACTTGAGTATACCAGCACAAACCTCCGTTAACTCATTCTCGACTTTACCTCTGTACTCCTTAACGAGCGACACGTGTTCTTCGTTCTTACGCGATTCCTCTTTCTGCTCAATGGAGGATACGATACGCCACGCGGCACGAAGAGAGCCGATCACGTTTTTGTAAGCGACGGAAAGGAGGTTTCGTTCCTCGACGGTGAGTTCGGCGGCGGGAGTGGAACTGAGGACTAGTTTGTCCATGTACTGGACCATTTCTTCATAGCGTTCGGCTTGTTCGGCGAGCTTGGCTAAGTAGAGGTATTGTTCGCGGCTGAGATTGTCTTTGAGCAGAGCCGCCATTGTTGTTGTAGAGAGAGAAAGTTTAGGCGAAAGAGAATGGATTCTCGACAGTGTGTGTGCGAGTGAGAGAGAGACTTTTTATGTGCTTTTTCTGCCCTTTTTCTTGAGCTTGTTTTGATTTTTTTGGGAGAATATGTCTGGAGTCAAATAAGTACTTAATTCACGAAAAATAATTAGCTGGGTATAGGTTTGCAGATTTGTTTTAGAAAATTTAATTTGGATAAAATTTGATTTGCTGTTTGGACATTATTTTTAAAAATATATTACTACTCTTTTTTTTTTTTGAAAAAATATGAAACCTGTTTTTGGCCCATAAGTTTTAAAAATTATCAAAAATACTTAATACCAAACAAATAAACTTGCTAATTTTGTATATGCAGAAACTTCTATCATAAATCATAGTCCTGAACATAGATAGTTTGACACAAAATCATAATAAACTAAATAATACACTATCCTAAAACCATAACCTGGTATTTTAATATGAACGGCTAATAACACAATCACTAGCTACTACAATTCGTCAAATTGCAATAATATTACAAGATCCATCAATCCAAACAAAAATAATAGTAACTAGCTGGTGGATTAGTTGGGTCATAATAGATGGTGCATTTTTTTATATAATACAAAAGTTTGGGTAATTTTTTAAATTATTAAAAAATTCAAAGGTAATATTTTGGACCAAAACATGTGTAGAGAGCTAGTTTTGAGATTTGAAAATTTTATTTTCAAAATCTGCCAAAATACGGATAAAATCTATGACAAACAAATTTTGCCAAAAAATTTTTTTGCAAAACTTGACAAAATCTATGACCTAACCGAGACTTGGTCTATTGTTTCAATTTATGTGAGTTTACTCAGTATGTACGTAAGACAAAAAGAATTAAATTTTTACTTGAAAACTTAAAAAGTTAAAAGTTTATATGGGACTTTTAATTTATGTAGCTATAATAAGAGTAAAATGGGTAAGATAAAAATTTAAAGTTAAATTATATATTTTCAAATGTATTAATATCATTCATTTTTAACGGATTAATAAGAAAAATATATTACATAAAACTAAAATAGAGAGATTACTAAGTACTGTCAACAACTAAAGAAAAAACATCCTTATGAAAGAAAAGGGGTTTAAGTATTGAAATAACAATTGTCAAATAATAGCGTTATATTAGTCCCAAAATACAAAAGTATACGAGACATTTAAGAAACCGTTTGGAAGGCCATCTTGCAATGTAATTTGGTATAATTATACAATTTTAATTAATTAAGTATGGAGTAAGCAATAGTTGAGCTGTTGAGGAGAGCGAGTACCATCTCAAATACTCAAATAAATTGTAAAAACTGCTTGTAATTACATTATATATATATATATATATATATATATATATATATATATATATATATATATATATATATATATATATATGCACAACATATTGTTAGGTTTTGCCCTGAATTTCTAATCTATTAGGACTCTCTTTCTAGAAGGAATGGAAAAAGACTCCTAAAAGGATTAAATCTCCTTAATATGTATTATCTTTTTCTTGGAAGACAAGTTTTGCACATCTATAAATTAAGGATATCTGCTTCTCAAATGTAGTCATTAAAGAGTTTTGTTTAGGGGGAGATTTTTCTCTCGATAGTTTTTCTTCTTTTATACTATTAGTTTTATCATATGTAGATCAATTGACCAAACCATTATAAACTATTATGCTTAGTTTTGTATATTTTTCTTTTGTCGTCTGATTTATCGTCCACCAAACTTTGTATTGTTAGTTTCCGCATGCACCGTGTTATTTCGATCCCAGCACATATTTAGTGTACAACAACAATTTTTTTTTTATATTTAACCAATGAAATATGTACATCCGCTAGCCCATGGGATTCTAGAGCTAGGCCCTTTATAAAACTCCTATTACAGTACTACAAATTTATGTTTCTTTTCCTAACAGACTAGTATACTATATATTGTCTCAAGTAGGAAATCTATTTAACTGTTCTAATAAGGTCTTCCATTTTCTCTTTTGTTGGCCTTTGATATGCAACCGTAAGACAATCTCTCGAACTCTCCTAGGATAAGTGGTATGTTGCTTTTGAAATCTTCTCATGTTCCTTTCCAGCCATGTGTAGTAGACTGTTGCTGCAAATAAGAACACCATAACTTGAGCTCTTGGTCTACCATTATTGGCTCTCTTGGTTAGCCACTATACTTCATTGTCCCAATTTTCAATTGAATGCTTTTCTCCCAGCCAGTCTAATAGTATAGCCCATATCGATTTTGCACATTCACACTCGAAGAAAAGATGAGTAAGTGTTTCTTCCTTTTGACTGGTACACAGTACACACTCCTTTGGCACATCTATCTTCCATTTTGCCAGTCGATCAACTGTTGCAATTCTTTGATTGAGAGTTAACCACAGTATAAATCTATGTCTTGGTATAGTGTCAGCTCGCAGCACTAGTCTCTTCCATGGAAATTTTTGGAATTATGGTCTTACGGCTATGTACACTTTCTTGATGCTAAATTTTCCTTGTTTACAGTATTCATTGACATCTCCAGAAGTATTCACAGACCCAAACCATTCTCTTGTGTCAAATACCTTTCGAACAATCCAGCAAGCTCGTTTTGGAGTTGGCATTGTGATGGCATCCCTCCTCTTTATGTAAGAGTTGTGGATCCATTTTACCCATAAGATGTCCTTCTTGGCATTGATAGCCCATAGAAGTTTGCACAAAGAAGCCTTGTTCCATGAGTAGAAGTCCATAATTCTCAGCCCTCCAGTTGAACCTGGCATACACATTCTTTCCCCTGATACTGAAGCTCTTTTTGATGGTTCATTACTTCCCGTCCATAGGAATGTTCTACATGCAGTAGTAATCATGTGTAGTATCTTTTTCGGTAGTAAGAAAACCTGTGCCCGATATGTTTGCATTTCAAACAATACACTTTTTATCAACTGTAATCGGCCACTATATGATAAAAATTTAGTGGTTCAGCACATGATTCTTGCAATGGTTCTCTCCACCAGTGGCATACATTGATGAGTGGATGGCTTTTTTGTTGACAGTGGCACCCCCAAGTATTTGAAAGGGAATTCTCCTAGTGCAAAATGCATTTCTGAAAGAATTGAGGCTTTGAATTGCTCAGTTACTCCAGCCACATAGAATGAACTTTTTTCCATGTTTGCTTGTAGTCCAGTTACATCAGAAAAAGGGTGGAATGCCTGAAGTATCAGCTGCATTGAGATTCTGTCTGCTCGGCAACACATGATCTACAAAACATATATGGGATATCTTGAGCTTGGCACACCGTGGATGGTAGTTGAAATCTGGTATGTGTTCAAGTGTCTTCAAACTTCGATTGAGATATTCCATGATCAACACAAATAAATAGGGTGACATAGGATCCCCCTGTCTCAATACCTTTTTTGCTTGAAATTTAGGTGTCATTCCTCCATTAAGCAACAATGAATAGCTTACAGTCATAACACATTCCATTATCAGATCAACAAACTTGGCAGGGATTCCATATTCTAACAGCACCATTTTTAGGAATAGTCATTCCACTGAATCATATGCTTTCCTTATATCCACCTTTATCAGACACCTTGGTGATACACCTTGTTTTGTGTATCCTTTGACTAATTCATGGGCCAAGATGACATTGTCTAATATATTTCTCCTTTCAATGAATGCAGACTGTGCAGGTCCCACTATGCGATCTACCATTGTTTTTAGTCTCCCGGTTAAGATCTTGGCTATCACCTTGTATAGAGTGGTGCAACATGCTATAGGTATGTACTCCTTAACATTAGTAGGGCTTACTACTTTAGGCACCAAGGTGACAGTAATGCAATTCACACTCTTCAGCATCTGCCCATTTGCAAAGAACTCAAGAATTGCCTCTGTAACTTCTGATCCAACAGTATCCCAATGTTGCTTAAAAAATTCAGCTGAGTAGCCATCAATACCCGGGGCTTTGTCATTGGGAAGCTCTTTGATTGTCTTTGTGACCTGTTGAATCCTCTTTTGTTTCTCTTTGGTTAGACAAGGTCGCAGTCTTACAATGTTTACATCCAAGCATGGTAGTTCATCAACACACTTCCCCAATAGAGCTTAAAAGAAGTTCACAAACTCTCGTTCAACAAGCTTTGGTTCAGTAAGTCTTACCCCTTGCTCATTACATATAGAACCTATTCTGTTTCTAGCTTGCTTGACATTCACTTGAGCATGGAAGAATATTGAGTTTGAGTCCCCAGCTTGAATCCAAGTGGCACGGGACTTCTGTCTTAATACTTGTTCATGTATACCATCCCATTTCTTTATCTGAAATAATAGTCCCTTTTCCTTGGTGATCAATTGATTGTTGAACAAGTCTGTACTCAGTTCTTCTTGTACACCTTTCAATTCGTCTCTCATTGGGTTCAACTTTCTTTTCAATGAGGAGAATTCTCTGTTCAAGTGCTTTATTTTTTGCTCCAGCAATTGCAATTTCCTCCATATTGAGTACGTGGCATATCTCTCTATGGGCTGCCCCCATATATGTTGCACTGCCTCCTTGAACTCTTGATGTTGCATTACCACCTTTAACAGTCTGAATGGCTTGGGTAAACTCTGATTAGCTCTATCAATTTTTAGGATAATTGGAGAATGGTCTGATACACCAGGGGAATCATAGAAAGCTTCAATATCATTATATAGCATGAACCATTGAGAGTTCCCAAACACCCAGTCAATATTACTATATATTCTCTCTGTTGCCTCTCTTTTATTACACCATGACCATTGCCATACCTTTCTATTCAATTGTCCCAATCTCACATCTGTGATACAATATTGAAAATCCAGTATTTCTGCTTGGTGGACTAGGTTCCTATTCAGTCTATCATTGACTAACAACATGGTATTGAAGTCACCCATCACCACCCACGACTCATTTATGTTGTTGTTGAGACTTCTCAATTGATCCCACATTTCCTTCCTAGCTGAATTAGTGTTGTATCCGTAGACATAAGTCAGCTCAGCCTCTATCCTTTACATGACAGTGGACCATCTGGTGGTTGGCCATAATTACTTGAACATCCACCATATGATCTTTCCAAAATACCAAATTCTCCCCTTAGTAGCTGTATTATAGTTTGTATATATAGTCCATTCTCCTTCAAATTTTCTTCTTGCTTTAGCCACTTTATTGTCTTTTACCTTTATCTCAAGGCAACCTATTATAGTTACTTTATTCTTAAGCAGAAAGGCCTTGAGTTCCTTCTGCTTAAAGGGCTTATCTAGTCCTCTGATATTCCATGAACAGACTATCATGGGGGAAACTTATCAAAGGTACTAGTGTTCCTTTCTACTTCTCTGGTAGTCTCTTTCATTTGTATTCTCAAAGAGCTGAACCTGTTTTGACTAAGTAACTTTTCCACTTCTGCATCAGACAAAGCTCCCTTCTGAGGTTCCCTACTTTGAGGTATCTCTTTCATTTTCCCTTTGACTAATCTTCCTTGCTCGCTAGTATCAACCCTGTCATCTACAACCATATTAACTTGACTTTCATTCTGTTGGCCTTCTTGTACTAGTTGTTTGGGATCATTGCTAGTCTTCACTTTCCACTATGCTATTGGTTGTTGATTCTTCTGCTTTTGCCTTCTACCTTTGAGGTACTTTTCTTCTCCCTTATCGGGTTTAGCATTAAGCTCCTGCTCCTTCTTGAAACTACCAATGTTATGTCCTATTTGCTAACAATCCTGGCAATAAGAAGGCTTCCACTCATATTCTAATCTCTGCTCCTTACACCCACCCTTTTCATCTTCAATCAATATATACTTAGGAAGTGGCTGTGATATATCCATATCCACCAAAATTCTAGCATAAATTCTATCTCCCTATGCTGTCAGCTTATCAGTACATATTGGTTTACCCAGGTAGCTCGCAATTCTGCCCAAATTCTCAGTTTCCCAATATTGTATCGGCAATCTAGGTAGGGTTACCCATGTAGTAACAATACGTTTGGTTTCTTTACTGATGTCAAAATCTGGTGCCCACTGCTTCAGCATCACAGGTCTATTATTAAATGTGTATGGCCCATACTTTAATACCTTCTATCTGTCTTCATCAGCTTGAAATCAAAAGATAAAGTATCCATCTTCGTGTAAATATACCTATGGTGTATCCACAAAGTGCTAAACACCATAGACGAATTTCAGCATCTCCTTGAAGGAAGGTGAACCACCTAGCACATAGCCAATCAAGCTTGATTTCCATTCCCGGGTCTCTTGTTCTACTTCAATTTGATTGAGTCGATTCATCTTTACTCCTTCTTTCATGATCGGTGGGTAGTACTCGAGCTTCGATCCTTGTTGTATGGATCAATTCTCTCGTACCACATCTGCTAAAGTAGCCCTTGCTTCATGCGATTCAGCTGAAAATGTTAATTTTCGTGCTGCTAGAGTCGCATCCATTTCCACTGATTTTGGAATTCCTTGTTCTTTTGTCAGATTCTCTTTCACCGGAGCTTGAAGAATTGTTGGGGCACTTCCCATCCCTTGCATCTAGTGAACCAATTGAGTTGGTTCTAGGGTTTGAGGGATCCCCGATTCCGGTATAACCATCCTATTTTCTGTGTTCATCATCGTATTTGCATCTGCAACTGGATCGTTGCGTCGTTTCCGTCGGGTCATCGGTGGAGGCGTACGTTAGCTATTCCCTGCATAACGTGCGCCTCTAGAGCTTTTTTTTTTCTATAGCGTGCAACAACAATAACATACTCAGTATATTCTACAAGTGAAGTTGCATATATATATATATATATATATATTTGTTACACATTAAGGTTTTCTTACTTGTTCATCTATTTTTTCTAATATTTATTGTGAACTTTAATTTTAAAATCAAAAAAACTATAACTACTCCATCTAAATTATACATGTGCCATCAAGCACGATATTTGAATCTACACCGTAATTACCTTAAGCAAACAAGTCTTTAGAATTGCTATATCATTAATAACTAGGCTGTGTAATTTTCAACCACGGCATTCAACTTTTACCTAAAATCAATAATGCACGAGCTATATTGGTAAATGAGAAATAAATTAGAGATTTGGCAATTATGATTAAAATACATATAGAGCCCATTCAATTTGGCACCATTTTTTATTTTAGCACTCTATCTCTACCTTGTTCCATCTTGGCCCTCCAATTCTATTCTATACGTTTCATTTTGGCCCTCCAACTCTATTTATTATGTTTCACTTTAACACAAAAGCTGAAACCAGTGCAAAAAATATAGCGCGTGTGTATACACAAATCTGAGGTGTAATAAATATCCAATAAAATGTTGCCACCTGGTTTTTTCATCCATGTCAAATGGGTCAATAGTAAAATATCCGAAACCGACCATGGTACCTTTATTCCATATTTTACCAAAATCATATATATATATATTTATATATATAAAAGAAATTTATATTTTGTTATCATGTTATCATACTTAATTCGATTAATGATCATATGCAATCATGTTAGAAATTTTTGTTATCTTTTCAAATTATTTAAATTCTACTTCGCCTCTCGTGAAAAAAAATTCATATAACTATAAAATTCTTTCACATTTAAAACCGTATAATTATAGTTATTTAAAATACTATAGCAAGATTTGAATAAGCGAATTTATTTTAAAATAATTATAATATATAGGGTACACGTCTATGTTTATGCAGATAAAAAAAGAGTTTAAAATTGAATAAAAATTTACTTACATATATAATAAAGTAAACCTACATGCCGGAGAAAGAAACATCACAAAGTCAGTCAATATTCAAAATGTAATTTTTTTTAAAAAAAATATTTGTTTGAAGAGTCAATTTGTATAAATGGACATCAAATAAAAAATAAAACTTTGGCTATACAATTGCTATCATATATTTTAATTTAGCATCTTCAGGGAATTGAAGGGTATAAGCTGAAACCTATTCATTTAACTGCAGTCGAGCCAACATTGCAAGGGTATACTATTTTTTTTTACTCTTTCCTAACTCACATTTTCTTCTCTGGACTGTGTTTCCTCCGGTGTCAAGAATACTAGTTTTGAATAATTATGTTGTGTGAAATGTTATTTTCTTCTCGAATTCAACAAGAAGGATATTGGTTTTCTAGTTGATAGTTTCTATAGCCATTTTTAAATGTAACAAAAAGTATATTTAAAAAAAATGGTATGACGTGATATTTTTTTAAAATGTAAACAAATTGTTTCGAAATGAGATTATTTTTTAAAATATAATGTAATTTTAAAAATAAAAAGATAGGATATTTTTCAATTTTAGTATAGAGTTTTTACAGTTATTATACGGAAAATGGTCAAAAATACCCCTTTACTATGTGAAAAGGATCATTTATACTCTCCGTTATACTATCAGTCCATTACAACCCTTAACGTTATAGAATTGGCACAAAAATAGCCTTCAGCCGTCAGGGCCCTGTACCATGACCAATATCATTCCACATGGCATGATATGTTGCTGAAGTAAATGCCATTTGGTATGCCATCTC